AGTGAACTGAGAGTTCAATATCAGGCCAAAAAAATCGAGAGTTCAATAATATTAATCGGCAATTACTGATTACCGCCTTCCATTCAGCGTCCTTCAAGACAGAGAGATAAGTTTAAGAATTAGTTATCCTAATAGTAACGTCACCTGTTATTTTTAAGTTCGAAGCTGGTGTTTAAAAAACGAAGGTTTTAGTTCCGTTAGTCCTTGGAGCGAGAATGCGAAACCGATTAATTGGGATCAGGAAAAGAGAAAGCAAAACTTTTTCTTTTGATAGTTAGAAGTATCCTTACAATTCTGTTTCAGACATTATTAAACATTAAATGTAGATATTTTTTTAACAGAAATTTGAATATTAGTTTATTACAGTGTGGGGGAACTAACTCTTTTTCGCTAGAAAGCCAAGCTTGTGTGCTTAAGCCACTGATCAAACGACGGCCGTTTCGGACCTTAGATGTATGGGCTGGGCTATTACCCACTTATAAATGCGCGGATGACGATACAACCCCATGTTTCAGAGCCCAACGTTATTCTCTTGTTCCAAACATCCATCCCCCGTTTCCGCGTTCCCCACGCTTGCTTCTCCCGTCCTTTTCCCTCTTTGACCCGTGCCCCTCCCCAGATCTCGCTCTTCTTTTCATTGCTCCATTGTATTTGACCATTTTTTTCCACTAGAAAGAAAACTTTGGGACTCAGAGAGTCAGAGCCTCGAAATCTGCTTCTCACTAAAGACACTAATTTTCCAGAGCTTTTCACGTCTGAATGCTCTGCGATACGAGCAGTTCAATAAAACCAGCATTTTTCCTTCCCTGCTCTCCCTGGCTCACGGAGGTATAACGAGTGCCAGTTTCAAAAGGGCAAAATACCTTCAATTTGGGTACAAGGGTTCTTGGCTTGCGGCTTCAAAATGATAAACATTGAATAGGTCGCAGTCTTGGCTACTTTCATCTGTTTTGCAAACTCTGTTTGCCACAGGGGAACCTTTTTGCCATGCTCACTGAACGTGGAAAAACCTCCCTTCTTTTGCTTGTCCATTGAGAATCTAAATTTGGGGCACACTTTTCGTTGTCGTATGAATCCCGAAACCTTGGCAATTTGAGGTGGTTTAATTACCAAGTGGCTTCTGGATTTATGGAGCATCCCAGGCCAGAGGGATGCTTTATAAATAGAACTGGTTCTTGAAGAAGACAGCGGCAACAAATATTAGGCTTTCAATTTCAATTATTCTTCTCAAAGTTGGACAGCTCCCCGTTTCACAGAAACGAACAAATCTCGAGCAAGACTCTGAGAATATTTAACGTTCTGCTGGGAACAATAATAGAAGGGTCCCAGCTTTTGGGAGTAACCAAGAGAGGTTACGTTGGGTTTACCAACACCAAATAGATAAGAGGAACAGAAGGTGCTAAGATAATTTCTTTGAGTTGGGATTGAAGTGTGTTTGCTTTTTGTTTCTGCCTTCAATAAAGCAATGGTCCGTCCGTTTGGCATCTTCCCTCCACTAACACGCGCGATTCCACCAAAAATAATTTGTGGGCAACGCCGTGTGTGCTATGTGGGTGACCTTTCATCCATCAGCTTTCAACCTGCCTTTCCTTCTTATCTTTATTGGTATTGTCTGTATCCTGTTGCGTGATGAACTTTAATGAAAGCAAGCATTGCCTTTTAATCTCGCTTTTTTTAGTGCTTGTTTGAGATCATGCTAAATTTTCTATAAATACGTTTTATATAAATTAAGACAAAACTCTTCTTATATACTTGTCTCATATTCTGTAAATTATTATTAAAAAGCTACTTATAAGCTATTTATAAATTGTTCTAAATGGACCTTTAATCTTAAAGGTATTTGATTTACAATAAAAATATTTTTTAAAATAAGTCAAAACAAGACTCTTATTATTTATTTATTTTGTATCTTATAAAATGAATTTTAAAACTATAATTTAGTTGCTATCCAAACAGTATCTTAAGGGGTGTTTGGATGGAAATCAAACCATGGTTTCAGAAGTGCTTTTATGGTTTACGAAATAAATATGTGAAGGAGTTTGCTTCGTTTTGCAGAAAAGTGCTTCTGAGAAGTATTTTTTTTTAGTTGCCAAACACCCCCTTAATCCCATACGGAAACTGCCTAAACCCAATGACCCCGTCAGTTAATTTTTGTGCAAGGAAGGAATCATGAGCGTTTCCAACTTCAATGTGAGGGCCAGGGGCAGGGAGAGATAGAGAGGTACTACCAGCCTACCCCTTTTGAAAGAAAGTTAAGCCGGCTTGTCTGGCTATGCAATAAACCAGAGTAGATTCTAATTAATCTCTCGGCAGATAATGAAAAAAAAGGGTAGTACGACAAAGGTTAAAACTCGTACCAGTACTCTCTCTTTTCCACGAAGATGATCCTCGCATAGTTTTGGAATGATTGTTGTTAATTACTGATGCAGTATCAGTATGGAGGACAGCGGAAGAACCTTTAATTAAGAAGTCGAGAGGAACGATGGCATGTGAGGAGATTTGATTTGATTGACGAGACAATTAATTACAGTATTGGGAGAAGAAATTGATGGGACCATGCTTTTCAGGTTTTCCGGGAAAGCCAAGTTTGAAATTCGTTCAAATAAGAAAAGCATAGTGGCACAAGGAAAAAAAAAAAAAGGATGGCAATAATTCAGAAATTGATCAGTTGAGAGGAAAGCGAGTGGCTCAAATATCTGAAGAACCGAGCGTGCGGTTCTCCATCATCTGTGACTTCGAGTACATGAGTCTTCAATACGGCATCGAAAGTCTATACTTCTTATCCAAGCGCATCCTTCGACGTTCAAACCTCAAAGGCTTTTTTTTTCTTTGCTATGTTAATGCTTTTCTCGAGCAGTATGCAGAGCCTAAAATAAATAATATTCATATTTTTATAAATATCATATAATAATTTATTATAAATTTATTTATTTTTATAAGCTGGTGAAACATAAACTTAACTAATTTAACATCACGAGGATTTTAAGAAAGGAGTTTAATGATAAGAATCACATGTGCAGTGACTATATTAGGCTTGTTGGCCTAAAAAAACAATTATAATCAAGTCCCACAAAAAAAATAATTATCAAAATGTTTTAATAACAATCTCGATAACCTATAATGACAAATTCTATAATGAAGAATGACAACTTTTAATATTTGTTTTTTAATTTTTTTTTATCTCATTGTAATTCTTTCAGAAAAAACACCCCCATACTAGTTAGTAATAGTATTTCATATTTGCAATTAGGATACGATCACTTCTTGAAAAGATGTGGGTTCTAATACAGAGCGAGAACCTAGGTCAAAATATATATATATATATAGTGCAGGAATTTTTTCTTCATCAAAATTTAGGAAAATGATTGAACTCACCTACAACCTGTAGTGGTGAGAGGACTTGGAGAAGGAATTGAAGTGGGTTCAGGTTTAGTGGAGGGTGGTGCAGTTGGATGAGTGAAGAGGTCCTTATACGAGAAGGAAGTGCCAAAGAAGTTGGATGAGAGTGAGATGGTCTCTTAACATTCAGAATCTCCTTGTTAATGACATCAAATCTTAAAGCTAAAATTGAATCTCTTTCAGTTCATCATCCAAATGGCAACATTTCTGAGGCCTATTCTCCATATTCCTGAATCCTCGTGCAAACGCCGTGTCCCGAGGCTGACAAAGAATTTTGTTCTCACATAATTGCAATAGTTGAAGTAGAATCTCTTTGAGTTCATGGCTCAATGGTGGAATTTCTGAGGCCTATTTACCATTCTTGAATCCTCATGCAAAATCGTGGGTTTTTGTTTAGCCACACTGAATTCCGAGGCCATGGGTGAATTTCATTCCGACGCAACTACAATAGCTGAAATAGAATCTCTTTCGGTTTATGGGCCAAATGGCAAAATTTCTAAGACCTATTCACCACTCCTGAATCCTCATGCAAAATCATGATTTTTTTCGTGGAGCCATGCTGAATTCCGAGGCAAAAGGTGAATTTTGATCTCACCCGACTACAATAGTTATACAGTTCACGACCCAAATGGTGAAATCTCTGAGACCTATTCATCGTTGTTGAATCCTCGTGCAAAATCGTGAGTTTTTTTAGGGAGCCGTCATGAATACCAAGAGTAGCTAACTCTTGATCTAAGTCTACCCGCTGCCATAGCTTAACTATGAAGGGGGCCCCTGTTACATTGAACCAGTCATTCAAATACGTCTTTAAAATGCATATTGGAAATACTAATCTGATGGAATCGCACATGGATGTTGGCGTTATGCTATTCTGATGCTGCTTGGATCAAATCTAACAGAAGAGCAGCCATTCGAGTCTATTTGGGAATCGAATACAATGCCGTCCCTCGTCTTTCTGCGTATAATCTACCAGGGAAACAAGTTTCCACTTTTGTTTTCGTCTCTTTTTACAACCCAAAATATACCAATTTTTTTTCCAGACCCCTAAGTTTTTTTTTGGAAAAAAAATTAGACGCCAGATGCTAACGGACTGAAATCTATTTACCAAAAAGCGTTTATGGCACAAGATCATTAACAGGTCCCCAATCACAGTGATCATGTTTTTCACCCGAACGGTTGCAACACATCCCTCACAGAAACGAGCAGTTATAATTAATACTATTAACATGTCGTTACCCATTAATATTTCTTAAGCAAATATAATGGAAATGAAGTCCTTGAGGCAAAAACAGCACGACATATTTCTGTATAGATGATCTATCTGTTATATATAAAATCTATTAGCGATGGTGAACACGGTAGCTTGAGGCAGACGATTGAGTATATCGTTTTGCAAACAGAAGAATCGTACAAGATCACTGACATTTTTGTTATTTAATATTGATATCTAGATCTAGAAGTTAACACTGTATACGGCATGCAGTGCCATTTTTAGATTTTTTTTTTTTTCCCCTTTGGGGGAGGAGGGGAGGGGGGATTCAGAACGCAATTTCCGTTGTCGTTAACTGTTACTAGTTCTACCCACTATTTTACTAGCTGCTTCAACTCTGTTTCCGAACGACGATGGCTAGCGATTCTTCTCGCAGGAACCTCATCTGCTTCGCAATGAACGCCTCTATTGTGCGCTGAAACTCCTCGTTGCTCAGCTTATCATGCGAGTACAAATTTTCCAGCGGATTTTCGCAGTGCCTCGCCATTTCTCGGCATTTCTCGGTCTCTGATCGCCGGAGATTCCGCGTTACCTCTTTCCTGGAGGCTCCCGTCGAGTTCTCCGACTGACTTCGCCGATAAACTTTCGGACAGTCAGATTCTAGTTCTGCGACTGAATCGGTATCCGTGCGCGTGTCAAATTCAACCCGATCCCTAAATGTACGAGCAGTGTTGTCGTCAGAGACAATCTGCTTGTCCTGGCAATCTATCTGCTCAGCCACGCGCGACTGGTCAGTATCGACTTCGGATGGTAACTCAGCATGATCAGCGTTCCGCTTGGCGAACTCGCGGAAGAGTTCCATCTCCGCATTGCGAGCGCCGGAGTTGTGGCCGATTATTCGTCGGGAATTGGCGAACAGAGTGGCGATGATGGCGTTGGAAATGAAGAAAACGAAGAGAGGACTGGCGATGAGGGCGGCGAGGCTGTGGAAGTAGAGGCGGGAGATTTGGAGGGCGGAAGAGAGACGAGAGAGGATCCAACAGAGGAGAAGCAGAGAGGCGCATAGCTGGAGAAGGCGAAGCGTCTTGGCAACGCCGGTAAAGAGGGTGGAGAAGCGCATGGAGAGGGCTTTCTCGGTTTGAAGGTTGTGGAAGAAGTGAAATACTGTGTCCATGGGTAGATAGGGTGAGAGCTTTTGAATGGGAGCAGAAAAGTTGAGGAGAAAGGGAAGAGGGTAAAGGATGGAAGAGGCGAGAGAGAGTGAACTAGTAGAAATAGAAGTTGGGGAGGAAGAGGAGAGAAGGGCAGGGGAAGAGATGGGGGTTGCTTGTGTGTCTTTCTGAGTTTAGTGGCAAGTCTGCAACATAATTGTTGACTGACCGTTTCCGCGCCTATATGGTGGGTTTATATACAGCCATTCGCCTCCACCTCGGCCACCACGATTTCTCTTTCAAATTATGTTGGGAAGATTTCGTTTAAGAACACAGAATTAATTTGAAAGAGCTCTTAAAACTTTCTAAAATTTTATTGTAAGACTAAAGGAGCAAAATGGTATTAATTCCACACACAAAAATAACGCCATTGCCTTTCATAATACTTATTATGGGATAACACATAAATGGACTAATTCTAATTATAAATAAAAGTATGTATGTTATAAATTGTTTAGTCCTATTTGCAAATGGGCTCTCTCATATTTGTTCACTCATGGACATCTTCTTCAGGTGAATGAGGTGATATATAAACAGACTAATTTCAGTTGTAAATAAATATATATATGTTGCAAATTATCTAGTCCCACTTGTAAATGGGTCCCACACTTGTTTAGTCATGGACACCTTCTCTAAGTGAAGGAGGTGACATGTAAAAGACTAATTCTAGTAGTAAATATATGTATGTATGTTGTAAATTGTCTAATATCACTTACAAATAGACTCTCGCACTTGTTTACATGAGAGACAATAGTGTCATTTTTTTTTTGTGGAATTAATATTACTTTACCCCCTTAGTCCTGTAATAAAGTTTCAGAAAGTTTTAGAGGCTCTTTAAAATCAATTCTGTATTATGGTCTTTAAACAAAATCTTCCCTAAATTTTGAGACGAAGAAAAGTGTAAAAGTAATGTTGCTTCACTCCTAATTGCCGGAAAGTAGCATAAAATTAATGCCTTCCCCGGAGAAAATAAGAATATCTGGGAATGACATTCTTTAATTAATAGGATGTTTTTGTTGGTGTAAATAGTCGAGGCTCTCATCAATTAAGTTTCTTAAAATGAGTGGCTGAGGATTTAATTATTGGCTCTCATAGTCCTATGCATGGAATAAATTTAGTTGGAAGAGTTTTACATTTTTCAACAGCTTGAAGAAAATCAATTTCTTTGATGGACGGTAGACAGTTTTTGACAATGAGAAAGCATGTTTTATCATTTGAAAAAAAAGGCCGATGCCCAACAATTACATGCAATGGATTCCATCCAATTTTAAATAATTAATTTGTCTAGATTAAAAATTATAGAAAATGTGTATTAGTCTCCCAAATATTTTTTTTAATCATTTACATTAAAGAAATATGAACTTAAAATATAATGAATTAAAATTTTATATTGAGGATTGAAACTAATCTTTCTATTAACTCTCTTTTTTTTTTTTAAGTACGTATTCTATTTAGTTTCGATGCGTGCCATTGATGACGAGCGAAGGAGTGGGGGAGGCCAAAATTGTGGAGGAAGGTCAAAGCCGAAGGTAAATGGATAATACTATCAAGAATAAGGAAGTCATCCGTGCGCTGCACGGCCTCATCACTTTGTAGTTTGCCCAACACTTATTTTATAATATATTTTATATTATAAAATAAGTTTTATGTTATTTTTAGTCTTTAATATAAAAATTAATTAACTAATTTGAGTATATTAGAATTTTTTGCTAAATTAATTATTTATAATAAATATGTCTTGTTTTTCTTAAAATACCTTTACTAATTATATGTATCAGTTAGAACTACCATTTGATGAAATATTTAACACGTGAGACTACTATAAGAACTAATTTAGAAAAAAAATAAATACGAGAGATAAAATGGATTGGAGTCTTATATTGAAAACTAGTTAAAAAGTCAAATTAACTTTTATATTAAGAACTGAAGGCAGTATTTATGGCCTCCTCGTATTTCAAACATAATATATTTATATAGTTACTTTACATGTATTAAAGACACTTAAATTTATTATAAAAATTAACTAATTTATAATACTACATTCGATTTTTAATATGAGAGCTGGTTAACTAATTTGAGTAGATCAAGAAAATTAGTTAAATTAGTTATTTGTAATAAATATGTGCTGTCTTACTTAAAATAACCTTACTAATTAAGTCTCATTTGATTAAATATTTAACATGTGTAACTACTATAAGGGCGATCTTAAAAAAATGAATAAATATGAGAGATAAATTAAATTATAATTTTATATTTAGGACCAAATTAAAAGTCAAATTAACTCATATATTAAGTATCAGAGAAAATATCATCTTTTTGATCATGTTACACCTTACCATCATATATTTTTTTTGTTATTAACGCCATTATCAAATATGATCATATATAAAAGAAACATACTCTTCTAGTCCATTTAAAAAGCAGAGAGAGGAGCAATTTTTTGGTCATATTTATAAGGTAAAGAGAAAATTTTCATATGAATATACAATTTTACCTTTCATTTAATAATGTATTGACTTTGTTCTGATAGGCCATAATGTATAATAAATGGGAATAAAGTTAAAAAGTTATTAAATTTTAAATGAGAGTTTGTAAATTTTAAAATTTTGTTTGATTTACATGAAATATATCGAAGGTGATTTATAAAAAAAAAAAAAAGATGAATATGAGAGGATATTATATTTAAAATTAATTAAAAATTAAATTAATTTTTATATTAATAAGTTGAGGTGGTAGTATTGTTGACGTACGCCAGGAGACATGAATGTTAATTCGCGAACATTTATAATGATTAAAATATTTTATTAGATGCATGTGAATACACTGGTGAGAGGCCGCAGGCGTGTGGGTGGCAGTGATCGACCTAACAACAAAAACTGGTTGACCGTGAATTCTGCAGTATCAGAGTGGCCTGCCAATGCACACGCCATGGCTCGCTTCCCATAATTTACTCCCTTCCCCTTTTATTACCTGTCCATTGTCCAGCCATTCATTCACGAACCATACTCCCCTGTAACATGAAACCAGACCACAAGCCCATGAACTGAATAAAAGAAACAAGAAGCCAGACGGAAAAGCCTCCTATTGTGAGCATCCTAATACCCGACCTAAACAATCGAATTTATCTGGGACAACGTTTAAAAATATTTATAAATACATTTTACACAAATCAAAACTCTTTTTACTTATTTATTTTGTATTTCTTAAATTATGATTAAAAAACTATTTATAAATTATTTTAAATTAATTCTAATTCAATTTAGGTACTGCAAAGGCCATACAGAAGGGAAGCCTTCCTTTGCTCTTGCTCTCTGGAGACTTTCCTCACATTGCATCACCGCCTTCTGCCAACTACATATCTCGGGCCGGGAATCATACGCCTGGCTGTAGGCAAGATGGCCAAAACTTGACGTGTCTTTCTTCCGCAGTGGGCCCCACAAAAAAAAAGGAAAAACCCTGTAAATGGTTCCCATTAATTCCAAAATTCTTCCGTTTATTCTGTGGTGTGTTTCTTTCAATATTCAAACTCGAGTTTAAGTTGCTTAACCCGAACTAGTAACGATTAGGACATTCTCCCACCTTTTAATGGGGTCTGGTGTGAGGCGAGTAAGTGGGGATGTCGAAACTGACTGAAACACCATCTCGCTTGATTATTCCTTTGGATTAATGGGTGGGGTCTCACCTGAACTATGCAAAAGGATGACATTTTTATTCTTTTGCATCCACTGATGATTATCATCCATTTTAAAAGCGCAGAGGGCATATTCCCATAATCTCATGCCTTGATCAGTTCTAAACTTGATAATGTTGTGTCGGGGAAGCATTATTGTAATGACGGCCATAATCCAAACATCACAACCACACCCCCCCCCTTTTGTCCCTCCCTTTCCAAGTGGATCTCGCAAGGTCAAGTCTCCATGAACTGCGATTTCATCCCTCCTTCAAAACCGCTGGGGTTACAAAGCTTCAGCCTTTATCACATCAAACGTGAACGACTAAGAGCCATAGGATGCAATCAATGGTTGAGATCCTCTCAATTCACGCTCACGGTAGTAATGCTCACCGGAGGGGATCCACTTCCCTCCCTCCTTCTGCTTTCTTTCCTTTTCATTTTTTTGATACCGACGACAACCATAATCTACGTTTCGAGCCCAGGAGAGGATGTATGGATTTCCTAAAGCCCAGTGGTTTCTTGACAGTCCACGGGGAATTGACGCCGAAAAAAAAAATGAACCTCACGCGGAACTCATCTCTTCGCGTGGCCGCCTCTTATTAAATTGGGTCATCACAGCAACTGATATCGTTGGACGTAAAAACTAATAATGTTCACCAACCATTTGCTGCGTTGCAAAGTTTTAACACATGCAACACGCGTTTTATTATATGAAAACATGCATATTAGTACCTCCCACGCTTAATATAAAAATAAAAGTTTGTTTAATTTTTATTTGAATTCAAAATATATTAATCTATTTTGTTTCTTATATTTATCTATTTTTTTAAAAATAGTCTTTATACTTCTGGTACTTCTAGCCAATACTTTTTATTAGCAATCATGTTTTAGAAAATACAACAACTATTTATTATAAATAATTAACTTAATTAATTTTCTTAATATATTCAAATTAGTCAACTGACTTTTATATTAAGGACCAGAGACTGCATTATTATTGGCCCAGTAAAAATGTATACTTTTATAATGTTGATGTTACCGCCCGTTCATAATATAGGAGTTACTTTTACGTTTATTTTGATTCTAAATATAAAATCTCAATTCATAATTAAAGGTATTTTGAGAGAAAAAAGGTTGTTAATATCACTTCTGATTCTTAATATAGGAGTTAATTGACTAATTTAAGTAGATTAAAAAAATTAATTAAGTTAGCTATTTGTACTAAATAGATATTATTTTTTCTAAAATATCTTTGCAAATCAAGTGTATTAGCTAGAACTGTAATTATTACAATAACTATCTTAAAAAAAAAAAGAATACATAAGGAAGATAAAATTAGCTAGATCTTATATTGAGAAATAAAGTAAAAATCAAATAAATTTTTATATTAAAGAATAGAAGTAATATTTCTAAAAATATACGAAATATCTTGTAAGAAGTTAAAACAAAAAACAAAAAAAAGCTCTAAAAATCTCCTGTAAAAAGCGTCGAAAAGAGTAAAATGCTTTGGTATCGTTCATGCATGCACCAGGGAAGAGCTGCGGAAACTTCCTTCTGTGAACAACATGAGAAACAACAGGGAAGAGTGATGTTAAAATTACTATAATATCCTAAAGAAAACACTAAGAAGTCCTAATTACGTGATTTGTTATCATTATCATTTACTTATTATGTGCCTTTTAGATTTAGATTAGACTCTAGATTCCCCCGCCCCCCTGGCAAATTTACCAGGCATTAGGCATAGGAGGGGTTCGAAAAGAAGGGTCCGGTCACGCAAAATGGCGCTTCGTAACTAATTTTCGAGGAGAACTGTTGCGCGCTGCTGCGGGTGCGTGGATACAACAATTGCAATGTGTACGCCAACAAATCCTTTACTCGTTTGGACTTTTCTGACCATAGCCTGAAGCCTCGGGGGTTTTTTCCACGCTGCTCCCGCGACGCTCCGTCATGGTGGCTACCTCCCCACTTTGTTACAATCCCTCTTCCAGATGTCTCGCTCCCAGCTTGCTTCGGCAAAGATTCTGTCACCGTTCTTCCTTTGCTGATGCCTTTTCTGCCTCGAGATCTACCTTCTTCTCTGGCTTTGTTCTGAGGAGGCCCCTTTCTCGGGGAAACCGGCTCTGGCTCCAAAATAACATGGATGAATTGATTAAAAATTATGCCATCCGAGATAAAAATAGTGATGAAGGCGTTCAAGTGCTTGAACAGGAAACTTTAATTGATGGACCATCCCGGCTCGGCAAGTTTGCGCTTCGTGAGCTGGAACCAATCCTCAATCGACTGGTTCGTAACCCTTAACTTCTTTCATTCAATCGTGGCCGCGACCGTTTGCTATCATTATAACTATGCTCTTATTACAACTGTGAATATCAAATGCTCTGACTTAAATTAGTTCCGTTATTCATTTATGGAGCGGGAGGGATAAAGCAAACTGTTGTTACCATAAGTCGTGAATGTTCATTACGGCGGCAGGAGGAAACTTTTTAAGATCAGAGTTATTCTTTTGATCAAGGCACGCGTTGCATTGAGGTGAAATGATGAAACCTCGTAGGATGAGCTTGTAGAAACTGTTATGGAATCAGAGGGTCAAGGCTGTGTATCACCAGCCTTCAATGAGAGATTTGGGAACTTTGGATAGGGCGTGCCACTTACACCACCCTCTGACAAGCACCACGTGCCGTAGAATTGGAGCAACTTCCCTCACATTTAAAATGTGCATTCTTAGGTTCTTCAAATAATTTTCCCTCCATTGTGTGTATAGATCTAAATGCTGAGCAGATAGAGAAGTACAAGCCAGCAATTGGCTGGCCAGTTTCAGACATTAAGGGCATTAGCCTTTCCACTTGTATGCATAGAATTATACTTGAGGAGAATTACTCCCCTGGAATTGAAAATCAAAGCAGAATTACTCCCTTTTTGGAGCCCTTTAAAGACTCTGCAGCGCTTCGACTTCTCAATACTACTAGTTTGAACTGCTGTAACTATCATTTTACCGTCCTGTCATATCATAACTCAAGATATTCTTTTCTTTTGGACTTGTAAGGTTGACTTTATGGTTTTTTGAGTTGCCTTATTTCAAAATCTTCCATTGCCATGCACTATTCAAATCACCATCTTTGATTCTGGTTATTGTTCAGCTAACTCTGCATTAAGGTATAATTATTGCTTAATGGGCTAATGGATCTGGTGTCTTACTTGCAGAGCAAGTGGATGGTATCTGCCTTCTTTGGTGCTCTCATTCTCTGGAGGCATGATGCAGAATCCTTATGGTTTGCGGCAGGATCTATCTTAAATGCTGTGTTTTCTGTGGTACTCAAAAGAATACTGAACCAGGAACGGCCTTCTACCCTAAAATCCGACCCTGGAATGCCATCTACACATGGACAATCCATCTTCTTTTTGTTGCTTTTGCTATTTTGTCAAGTAATTTCTCTTTCCCACTCATCATATTTATATCAGTTCCAAGGAGAAATATTACCTAATGTCTGATAATTGTATGCCTATCTTACAACTGATAAAAGATAAAGTTAACACTGGTGTTAATGGACTTGAAGTATCTTCTTCCATATTTTGTACATGCTTTTCCTATTGCAAAAGTTTTAAATGCTTTGAGTTCAAGGTTCTCTTGGAAGCAAAATTAATACTAGCTCAGTTCTTTTGGGAACTATACATATTTCATGGGTGTCTTGGCGTCTCCAAAGTTTAATCTCCTATTGCTAACTGTAGAAGAAGATAGTTTGGTTGTTGAGGTGATGTGCTCCTTTGGTTTCTTTATTGCTTTGAGATATGTATAATCCCATGAATCCAGAAAGATGGTTACTAAAGCTTGATTAGGAACACTTAAATGCAGCCAGAAACTTATTTCTAGAATCACATGTATTAAGATGCTTTGAGGTAGTGGTTGTGTCAGAAAAATAATTTCTTTGTTTGATCTGTGGTAAGCCTGTACTGGCTTCATAACAAACCTCATGTTTCTACTAATGATGCTGCAGGTATAGAATGGCTGGGGTTAAGTGGATCTAGCGTTACCATCAGCGGACTTGCTGTGGTGCTTGGTTCTTACTTTGTAAGTATATATATGCAGTGTTTCCTATTTATTCTAAGAAAGATAGCTTTCCGGGCTTGAGTCCTTCGAGAATAGTAGTTTTCTTGTTCATTGGTACCATATTCTCCGGCTATTCCCGTATAACTTGTTAGAAATGTAGACCTTGTCAGTTCTTTGTTTCCTTTCGCATCAAATGAACCATGCAGATGGCCAAATATATGTTTGCATGTAGTTCTAGTAATTTGTTTCACGTGAGCTTAAGCGTCCTGTTTATAACATACTGAAATACCACCTGAAATTTGACGACTTATTCAGACGTAACATTCACTTCATATTCATCCTGAATAATGCAATACAATTGCCTGCACTTGTATTGTTTAGGGCATCGGGACACAAACATAACGGAAACATACTCTGGAGGACCCTCACACACTCACACATGCACGTGCGCACGCTCACACACACACACACAAAACTTACATCTGGGTATTAAAAATACTGACGGCATACCCATGAGTCAATAAACACGAATAACTTCCTAACTTCCATGGTTGCATTTACCCGAACCTATATCGGCGCCATTTCCCCTTCTTTCCCCTTTTGTTCGCCTACAATAAGTTATGCTAGGAGATGGAATACTGGCAGAGTTTGACATGAATTCCTAATTAATGATCCTCTCGAAGAACGATAAACGGATTTATCCACTGAAATGACATTTAAGCTAAACTTTATCTAAGTTATATACATGACACTTTGTGCATGCATCGTTCAATTAGCGTCCTTTCACCTTACTTGCTGAATTTTTGAGTGATAGTTTATATTTAACATTATCTACTTGCAATCTAGTGTTGAATCACATTCATATATTGATGATTTAGCCTTGAGGTTTATTTGTGGTCCCATCGCATGAATCTTTTAAATTTGAAGTTACTGTTTTGATAGAAAATTATTTGTAAGGATAAATCGCTCATGCTGTAATGCATTCTCCCTCTGCTTGCAGTCATACCTACGGGTATCCCAACAGCTTCATACAGCAAGCCAAGTGGTTGTTGGTGCCATCATTGGATCCATTGACTCCGTCTTGTGGTATTGGTTATGGAATGCTTTTGTGTTGGATGCATTTGCATCCTCCCTATGGGTTAGAGTCGCTGTTCTTTTGGGGTCTGCTGCAATTTGCTTTGGTTTTGTAATCTACGTAATTCGCCATTGGCTTAAAGACGACTAAGAACTGTCATATCAAGTCTTGCCTTGATGGTGATAACATAGTCACGAGTTAGAAATGACGCTCTGTCGAAACCCAAAAAGAGGGAGGGAGGGAAGGGGGGGGGTGACGACTAGGAACTTCGTCGGAATTTGCTATAAAATGGCACTTAGTTTTACTATTGAATAGAAATTTCAAGTTTCATACGCTATGCACGATTCCTAACGCATGATCCAAGGGCTTAGAGCTGGAACTTAGGGAGTGTTTGGCAAATTATAAAGATGATTTTATGAAGTATTTTTTTCGCAAATCAAGATAAATTTCTTTACATATTTATTTCGTATATCATAAAATTATTTTTAAAATTATAGTTTGGTTTTCACCTAAACAATTAATTTATCACTGCTCAAAGTAGAAAGGAATAATGGATGCTGGATCTAAATGAAAGCAAAGCTGGAGTGATTTACTCTCAATGTTGTCAAACAAAATGTTAAAGGCTGTCTTAAAGGGGACAGAGCATGTCCTCCTGGACGAAAAAAGACATTCATCTCTAAAAGAGAAACTAGTTTAGGAAACATTAAAACTAAAATTTCTCAAGCACAAATAAGATTAGTTTACGTGGTTCAGTCAGGCCACTTCAGTTGCCAATTTGCCTTCCTCTGTGTCCTGGAACTCCTCTTTTTGGTCTTGCCCTCTTCCATCTGTGCATGTTCCTCATTCTGGCAAATATCTTCCGAAGTTGGTATAACTTGTGAGATTGCTGAGCAATAACATTTGCTGTGGAAGAACTCTGGCCTAGCATTACCCCATACCCATCTTGAAAAGACTCCATACCTTCGGTAAGAAGCTGCCAGAACATGGCTCCCCCCGCTGGCCCACCCCTTTTAGCAGAAGCATATATCTTGTAGTACACACTATTGAAAATCTGATCTCTCTTGTAAGTGTTGTAACCCGCATCTTTCCATGATTTTCCGAATTCTGCTACAAGAATTGGCTTCCGGAGAGCGTACTGAGCATCTAAGAAGTGTGCATCGAGCCAGTTATTCACGAACGAAAGCTGATATTGATCATTGGTGCTGGCTAACCTGTTTATACAATGAACAAAATATATACTCTATTAAAAATAGTTCGATAGATGAATTGAATTAAATAATTTTGGCAAGCATTTTAATTTTTTTTTTGGGGGGTAGTTACCATTGGTCAGGATAACAGTGAACTGTGGCGAAGTCAATGGCAGGGATCCGATTATTTGCAATGAAGTCGGTCCCTATATCAAAACCTGGATTCATTCTCTTTCTCTGAGGTGTTGATTGTCCATAAAATCCTTCTAAACCCGCTTCCAGTAAGTGTTTTCTGTCCATGGACTTCACAAACGAAGCCATTTCCGCTATCCAGGCCTATGATTGAGATTCAAGAGTCAGCTCTTTAAAAAGAGTTCGCTTTCAATAATTATAACATTCAGTACTGAGTATTACCGCTTTATATTTACATATATATATATATATATATATAAGTACAGACCATATGAAAAGCATGATTAGATATGGACCAATTTCAAAAACATGGTAGAGTTGAAAGTTCTCTTTGCAAAAAGCGCCTTCAGTGGGAACATAACACACTATCTATGAAACCGCAAATTCCGGAAAATAAAAGGAAGAAACAGGAAACAAAAAGAGAGAGAAGAGAGCGGAGCAACAACAGTTAATTGAAGCTGTTTGATTTGACCTGGATAGTCCTTCCAGAAGGATCTGACGTGCATCTGGGCTCATTCATCAGCTCCCACGCCATGATTGTTGGGTCGTCTTTGTAATGAATTCCAGTGAAGCTGTTTAATCTGTTAATAACAGTCTGTGAAAGGCTTAGGCTGTATCAGTAACTTGAAATTGTGATGCCCAACAAAACTCCAAAAAAATCACAGTCGCTCATCGCTACTATTTCATAATCTAATCTGGTGTATCAGATATCAGCTGAACTTATGAATCACAAATCCCATCATCTTCTCTTGTTTAATTTTCAAAATTGCAGAAAAAGCGAAAGAGATGAAATGAAAGATGGAGAATTTAGGACAAACAGGAAATCATAATCACATATTGCATCAAGCAAGGTAAAAGGCATTCTGCAAACCTTGACATGGTTCCTGTAGTAACCCTTAACAACAGGGCTTCTGAAGAAATCATCATCTGAAGTTAGGTACTGTCCTTTACTTCTAGCCCAGTTCACATACTGCTTCTTCCCTCCAAAACTCTCATAATTGTTCACGAAACTCAATATAAGCTTGATCCCGTGCTTCCTAGCCTCTGCTATAACGAAATCTAGCCCCTTCAAGCACATACACGAAATATCAGCAATTCTGCGTGTTAAAGAGCGCAAATTTCTCGCCTTTCTAGTTCTAGGTCCTTGAGGGGTACCTTGAACATTTGCTCATTATAGAAACCAGGCGAATACTGCAAGGGTCTGTAACCTCCATCACTGAATGCCCAAGTTCTTGCGATGGTAAGGCCATGACTGGTGGCTTCACGGAAAGCAGCAGAGACTTTGAACCTTTGAGATGGGTCTGAGGCTACGTACATCAGCCAGTACGCATTGAAGCCATTTGCGTAGAAAGGGTATCCATTCAACAGAAAATGGGTGCCTCTGGTTCTGACGAAGCCATCCCCTGCATCCACAAGCACGTGGACAGAGCTCTGATGGATTATAATGGCCAGAAGAAGAGCTAATGAAATTTTCTTCATTTCTCTGCTTCAGACACTCATACACGTACACACGCACACTGGCAAAGTCAATCTGGAAGGAGGTGTCTCCTATTATTTATAGGCTTGTAATGGAGATAAGAGTCAGGCCAAAAAAAAGTAACGGAGATAAGAGAAAAACGAAGCGAGAGGTTTTATAAGACTCTGAGCTCTGGCTGAAGGTTGTCTCTTCCCACTGCAGAATGCAAATTGCAAAACAAGTTCGTAAATATATAATTTTATTTTGGAAAATTATGGTTTGCAGATCTTTCAAAATTAATAATTTGACTTTATGTTGCGAGAGCCTTCGAAAGCAAAGTGAGTATAAATTTCGAACACTAACTAACGCGGGGGAAAAACCTCATAGATTTTGAAATTACAGCATAAAGATAGCATATCTTGAGAGTACTTTTGTTTGAGACCTACTATTATTTATTAGCGGTTATTAATGGCAATTAGCGGGAGGGAAAGAGAAAAAGGTTTTGAATGATAGTGTTAATATTTCTACCGACACATAATTGTCGTAATGTGACAGGCAGGTAACCTGACAGCAACACTAATGAATGCGCGAGTCGGGTGTGACTCTGATTAAATGGAAAACCAGAAACAAACCATGTTTCTGTCTTTAAATCATCAATGCTCTGTGTCGAGCCCTCCAGAATTATGTTAGCCCAGATTGTAGTCCTTGACGTGCATTACGCAGTTTAATCCCAAGAAGAATGCTTCTTTTTCAGATATATAATTAAAAGTGCGGGCCACCGACAGTGTGGGCAAATGCGTTACTGAGACGCAACTTGATGAAATCGGAAGACACAATTTTTGTTCACTCACTTACTGGCGATCAACTTAACCTCAATTGCAAAAGAATAAAGTTTTCCAAAGTTGCTAATTTGTGAGGAGGCGTTAATTGGGATAAGGGCGTGATCCATACAATACAAGGAACGATGATGAAGAAGGAAATAATAGGCAGCGGAGTCATTATTACATTGAAAATGATGGGAGTGGTGTCGCTGATATTTCATGATCAGGCATCTGATGCCTCTCCATTATAAAGCTACAACCTTGTTCTCGTGCTTTGCCATCTCCATCCAATCCACCACGTGGCGCATCCTCGTTAGCTCCCAAGTCGGCACCCATGTTCATCTCCTCTGCTCTGCTCTTCAGCTTCCTCGCCCGCTATAATATCCCAAAACATGCGTTAAATCGACCTACGATCATATTTTCGGTATAAAATTGTGAGTAATCCGACCATTACCTCTGTCCATTGTGTGTGCATTTTTTTCTTTTTTCAGGAGTATTCAATGGGATGTCACCACGTGGCCAAACCAGAGTGGTTTGTGGTGCTGGCAACATATCGGTTGCGTGGGAGTCAAAAGTAGGGAATCAGGGACGATTGAGGTAATAAATGGGCGACATTAGCGGATTTAAGACACTTTACGACCTCATCTTGTCCACTGTCTGTTTCTCGCTTCCTCTTTCTCCGCGCATAAACAATAAATTCTATCGACATTATTCACATTGGAAGACTCAATTCCATCCTTTTTGTTGAAGAGAGAACAAAATTCAGCAGCTTCACCGGGCAGAAAGAAATCACCAATGCAAGAAGCTCTGCTGTGCAAGTTCAATGTTTTTTTTTTTTTGGTAATAAAGAATTTTAGGAAAGGAATCGGACTCATCCACGATCTAAGGACAAGGCACCTAACTCATGTTTCCATGACTTTATGAACCAGGTAGGAGAGTACACGTGTCTCCATCTCCCCCTGGCTAAAGGGCATTAAACACATGGGAATTAGTCCCAGAAGGGGTCGCTTCCACTTAGCTGTGGTGATGCCTCCCCAGCGTCACGACTAGAGCCACAACAAAATGGCACTCCTTAAAATTGTGTGCAAGTTCAATGTTGGTGTGACATGAACTGGACATAAATGTGGTTGGGCAGCCAGGCCCACCACGCACGTTGTTATGACATCATGTAGGTCAGTCAAGACCCACCAAACAATCTCGTTGGTGAGATTTCTGCAATGAATTAGATCTCACACGCTCGGAAAAAAGAAGCAGAAGGAGAAGCAAAAGAATTAGCTGTAGTTAGGATCAGATGGGTTCGGTATACTGAACAGGTTTATAATGCCATTTATCTGATATTTCTCGTCAACCAAGGACGAAGCTTTTGCCCAGAAACAGTTGATAACGAGAGGAATTAGAAAAGCAACCCTGTGCCTGCATGAAATATAGACGCTGAGCCAAGCCTTGAAGCCCACAAGAAAGCATGTGATCCTCCAGATGGCTCCATACCTGCAGCTAATTTCCAACACGTACCTGAAGGAGAAGAAGGCCATCTGCCAATCGGCTTAGCACAGGGTAAGATGGTAATATCATTGGGCTACGTAGAGAGTGATGGGTGATGGTTTGATCGGTCATTGCAACTTATTCGTACGTTTGGAGTGCGGATGAATGGGGAGTCTATGAGAGTATACGAGTATACTATGCATAGGTCTTCATTTTTTCCACTGAGAAGGATGGTGTTAAGAAAATAATGATTTGGTTATTCCAGTTTATTGGGCCAGTCTATTCTACTTCATGAGCAACCTCAGCCCTGTAGCGACGATGACCCCAAAAATAGATTCGGGTTTCCCTAAAGTGATATCCGGGTCCCAAGGCGTCCATATATTCATCCCGTTAACATAGGACTTAAATGTTAAATTAATTAAAACCTATTTTTTCATATTTATTAATTTTTTAAAATTATTCTTATTTAAGAAAAATGATTATAATGCTTTAAAAAAACACATCATATTTTTTATAATTAACTAATTTATCAAACTTTCTCAATTTAATTAAATTATTTAAATAAGTTTAGAGCTATCAATAAGGACCAGCTCGATCCTAAATGACTAGCTCTTGAAGGACCAGGGCCTAAAAGCCCTTAGTTTTTAAAGCTAACATATCTTAAAATTATTTAATTATTAAAGGCCGACCTTTGGACTTGCAGGTTCAGGGTTTAAAAAAGTGACCCTTTTATGTTATTTTTTAAAATTTAAAATTTTTAATTATTTTAAAATAAAAAAATAAAACAACAAGAATTCTAAAAAATTATTCAAATTATAAATATTAGTAAAATAAATTAATAAACTAATGGTGTATAGAAAAAAAATTAAATACTAATAAATCATTGTCAAAAATTAAAAAAAAATCAAAACCTAATGAAACAAGGAAAACAAAAGGATAAAAACCTAGTAGCTAAAGATTAACAATATCAATATGATTATTATCTTTATCTTCATCTTTATCACACTATCATTAAGATCAACAATATCAAATTGTTCTTCACTACAAGTAAGCTCTTCTTCAATAATAAAAATATTAAGATTTTTGTCTTTATCACTATTATTTAAAGTAAAACTATGTAATAGTTATGAACACAAATGAAAGCCTAAACATTCGTTAGAATAAGAAAACTTCTATATATTGTTAAGATATGTAAACCGATAGTAAAAGAAGATTTATTAGCTGCTATGATAATTGGAATGCTAAGAATGCGAGCTGCCATTTTTGAAAGAATTGAAAATTAAAAATTAACTTTAATTGTTCTTCTATTCTTTTTAATTATCTGGTTTAAGTATTGGTTCTTCCAAATATTTTTCTAATTCAAATTTATTCATAAAAAAACTAATACATAATTATACTCAGCCTTATAGTACTAGCCTTTTAAAATCTAATTTCTTTTTTAATTTCTTAAAATACAAGCCCCGCCTATTACTTCGAAAGGCTTAAAAAAACTGACCTGATAAACTTGCCCGTTTTGACTGCTCTAAATAAGTCTGGCATTCTAAGAAGTACAATAATACTTCTACTGCAAGATTTATCAAGGACCGGGCATTGGGTCAGGGCGAACAACGATTACGTCACTTATATTTTGTTTTAGACTTCTATACAACATGGATAGATAGGACAACATAATTCTCCAAGTCCCAAAAAAAGAAAAAACACCCAATTCTTGATCATTGTCACATTTTTTTTGTAATGCTGTTTTTTGGTGTTTCCAAATATAGTGCGAAAAGTGCCCCAAATGGCGCTCGGAACGCACATAACAAGAGTAGATATAGCTTCCCTTAATCAGGGCATAGCCATGGCACAACACTGTTGCAACCCTAAATTGAACGAAAGGATCATGGTCGTTACTGAGGCTGACCACGACAGCACAGAAACACACAAGAATCGTAGGCATCATCCCACCACTCATCGAGGCACAAGGACTATATCCCCCTTCCTATTTCATTGATTAAATCCTCTTTTGCTGTATAAAAATGCTCACGAGAGCACGAGCTTAAATGACCCATCATCAACATGCCTTAGCAATGTAACAAAAAAACCAAACATTTACGCAAGCACATCTAAGCTCGCTGGCAGAAATGCACAACTTACAGAATATCTCAACATCAACTGAGCCACTTCAGTACACTATCACCTAGATATTCTGTGCGAGGCCCTACTTACATACTAGATGCAAAGGCTCCGGATGCGGAAAATTGCAACTGACGAAAGTCAACCACATAGTGGCATGTATACTCTTTATTCCTCTCCTAACATCAAACGGCGCTACAGTTAGTGCTGATGGATGTATGTTACTTGGCTGCATCCCCATGCTCAGAAACCTGATCATGGTGCGTAGAAGATGACGATTTTCCCATGGGGATATAAGACCACGCTATGGTGGCAGCACCAAGCACAATAGCAGTAGTAATAGAGCCCCAAATCCATCTCTGCCTCCGACTTCTCCTTTGCCTCTCACGCCTTGCCATCTCTGAAAGTACACCAGTATGAGTAAGAAATTAACCAAGTCTAAACGGCGGAAGCTTACACTGGAAACAAAGTAAACATGCATACAAATATGTGCATATTATCTCAGTATTTAGCTAATCATCTTAAATAATCAAAATTGGAAAATAATCTTATGGTTTCTTCCATTATTTCCCATTTGTTCTCTTTTACTCTGTTAATTCATGAAAAGAGGGCGTATAGCCCATGACCAGCCTTGAGGCATCTATCGCTGTCATACCTTGGTGTTGTTACTCCATCATAAACAAATCGTTTCATCCCAACCAAAGGACATACAGCCCTGATAGACTATCAATGTGATATGATGAATCTTGGTAAGGTGAGTGTTCAAATGAATAGATCAGGCACAAGGGAAAAGCCGGAGTTTAAAGGGTTGGATTGCGGAACTAGTGCAGGCTAAGGCTACGTGACAGCTGATGCGAGCAACAAGGAGGAAGTTGGTTGGACCTTAGAAGTTAACAATGGGCCAATAAAATAGAGTAGGAAGTGCTGGGAAAAGTATGGAAGACTTGGGTGTGAGTATTACATAAATAGACAGAGTATTTGTCTTCTGACCTACTAACAATTCAGATACACACTTCTATTTTTCATAACTATATTGGCTCTGATTTTTTGCACCATTTCTACTTTGGAATTTGGTCTCTATCAGTGTGACATCAGAAACCCACATTTTCAGCCAATGACAAGATACCGGACATGATAGACGATAAAAATGCTTGATGCTTATAAAGCCTGTCCTATACTGGTATTCTTGAGCAACTTCTTAATGCAAAGTAGAACTCCTATGAGGTGAGAGGAGCGGATTCACAAATCACACAATACCTGAAAAAGTATGCGTAACAGAGATGCCAAGTGCAGAAATTTACTAAAACAGAGCAAGAAAAGCATGCATCAATTTGTATGCACTCTAATTTTCAGTTGAAGTTAAAGCGTATATCAATGGTTCCACTTGAAAGGCCATCTAGGGCACATCTTACCTACTGCTTCTTGGTTCCTCTGTGACATTTCTTGATTCACCATCTCATAAAAATGGAGACGTTCCAACAAACGAGCTATTTCAAAGTTCTTAGAAGCTATTTGAGCTTCCATCTCCATCTCCACCTCAGCCCTGGCAATGCCCCTCCCAATGGCGTCTGATACAAACCTAGCAACATTAACTTGTTCACACAGATCTCCGACAGGATCAGAATTCAGCTGTTGTCCCTCAGCCGCAGATATAATCCCAGCAGGAAGGACTATGCCTACATGAGACAACCTTTGTCTAACACTCTCCCATTGACTTCTAATGCTGTTAAGGGATTCTTCAAATTGCTTCCGCTTTTCTATCTCCATCAACAGACTCAACCTCATTTCACGCAATTCAGCTTCAGCATTATATGGAGATGGAGAAGCCTGAGGCCCGCCTTCAGATAGTTCTGCAAGAAAAGAACCAAGTGAACCGGCTTTCAGACTAAGAATTTCTTTACAAAACTAGCGATCTGCTCTGCCTTCCTCCCCTATCCAATCAACACAAGTATTACACAATGAAATTGAAAAGCATAACACTATTTTGTTCACTGAACTCCTGTAGGGCAAAAATTCTGATAAAAGTAGAGACAGTTTAAATACACAAGGAATGAGATTGTCTTATTCCTTATTTCAGCTCATCCAAACACATGTAAGTGCTTGACCATGTACATAGATGTTCAACTGCACGGGAGGAAAAAAAGGAGCCAATAAGTATATTTCAATTACCTTCCCAAGCATCAAAAAACTCCCCTTGAGGAGTAGGGGTCTTTAGAGAGTGTTCAGGCCCAGTATTATCTTCTCCATCTGTATTACTAGTGTAACTCATTGAATCTTGCGGATCAAAGAAGTCTTCACCCTCTACATCTCTTTCAGAATTATTCGCCAACACCTTCGGTATATTACTCTCCTTGAGTGACCCATTTGTACTGCTGCTACTTCCAGCTTCCCTGCATCCAGTGCAAAGGTCATCAGTGTTGATGCTTCTAGGTGCACTGTCATGAAAACCATTAGTTCGCTCCTCCTTAACAGGCTCAGGATGTGAGAAAGTGACTTGCAGGTCACCAGCTGAGCTAACAACCACAGTGTCTGAGGTCTTCTGTAAACCATCATCCTTTTCGTCATCTGGAATCTTCTGCTTTAATACGCTGGCCTCAGAAAAACTCTTGACAAGGCGTGGCCCTCGACGTTTGTGATTGACAATGTAGGGAGAAGGAGGGAATGATGAGGGTGAATCTGGAACTGGTGTCACCTCAGGAGTGGCATAGAGTGCTGGTTTTAATGGAGGGCGAGGAGCCTTCTTTTTTGTGGCCGGTGGCACACTGCTTCTCCTCTCCAGTTTAGTGTTGGGAACAGGCATGGAAGACGGGGCAGATTTATCGACTGATTTAGAAGCTTTAGGCTCTATCAATGTATCAAACGCTATTGCAGTAAAGGTCGGCATGGCTGTCAAAATCAAAAGATGATACAACTGTAAACATTTTTAAATCGGCTTAAATTCATAGCATTTCCAATGACCGAGTACCTCAACCAGGCTAACTAAAAGCTCGACTTAGCATATCACTAAAGCAACATACCATGATAGAGAAATGGCCACAAAAGTAATAAATGCACAGAGATGCAGAGTAACGATGAATAATTTTCTTTTTGTTCCCCTAATAACTATACTTGTCCGGCCATAAAAGGCGCGGAAGAGTCAAGCATCTCTGTTGAGCCGCCAAGAAAAAGGCAGGAACGCAAAGATCCAAACATAACCAAGTGGGGAGCAATATTACCGTAAGATATTTAAATTTAAAATACAATCGAAAGGTTTTTTACAATATGGAGAAATTCAAAGTAAAAACCCGTGGGATTCGAAGGAACGCATGGTCTACTTCTCCGGACATATTTCAAATGGCTGCATAGAATGCGATACTCGAAGGGAAAAATGAAAGAGACAGAGAGGGAGAGTGATTAAAAACATTGACAAACTTCCATCGGAAACCGAACAGAAAGAAACGGGATTTCAAAGTAGGCAAGGGTTCCGTTTCATTCCAAATCCAAGAAAACAGAGAAGAAATGAAATAGGGAAAATTGAGCCGCCAAGCGAGATGAATGGTAGCCGATGTCAAAACTGCTATTTTTTTATGGGCAAAAGAGAAAATAAAAGACCAGCACAAAATCGAAATCGAAATCGTTGTGTTTAAGGAAGTACTCTTGTTTACATCAAAGAAATAAAAAAGAAAGCGAAATCAAACAAGTTGATGAGAGCAAAACAGAGGGGGAGAGAGAGAAGGGAAGAGACATACCTTATTTGGGGGTTGGGGGAGGTGAGAAACAGAAACCCTAATGAGAAAAGAGAGAAAGGAAGGAGGAGGAAGAGGAAGCAGAGAGAGGGAATGAAGGGTGAAGCATCATAAATTTGGAGGGGTGTTCCCGCACCTTCGGAGACGCAAAATAAAAATCCAACACAGCACAACACCCTCCCTACCCTTCTCCCCAAGAAACTGCGCCCCCTTTTATTTTCTTATGTGTTTTGTTCTCCTTCCAACTTCAAGCAAACGACCGCCTCTCTCTCTCTCTCTCTAGATTACGGTCGTACCCTCCCATTCCGCAATTTGTCAATACCTGAACACGCACCCCTCTTACCTTTTCAATTTATTTCGCTTTCCTTTCACAAATTTCCCCATTAATTTAGGAAAAATTGTAAATAAAGACCCTCCAATATATAAAATAGCTATCAGGGACCCTGAATTTGGAAAATAGCTTCAAAGGACCCGGTCCCAAATTGCAAATATGAAATGATGGTAAAATGTCCAGAATGCCCTCTGCTTTTCTCTCTTTCTTCCTCTCCAGATCATCTTCTTCCCGACCTTGCCTCCTCATTTTCCTCTCACTCTTCGTTCTCTCTTTCCTCTCCAAGTTTCCTTCCCTCTCCTCACTCTTTTCCCAAAGTATATGGAACTCCCAATGTCTTTCGGTGGTCCTCTCCTCATTGTCATCCCCGTCACTTTCTTCTTATCTTGCTTACCTGCTCTTTCGTCAACAATGAAGCATCTTCCATCATTCTCTCTGTTGCTGTGGAAGGAGAGGAGAGTCGGGAGTTTGAGGGAGAGTGACAGTCATTTGTAATGCTTGTAATGTTTGCTTGCAATGTGTGCGGTGATTGCTTGGTGCTGAGACAACGCCCAATAAATCTGGATTTTTATTCTTCATTTCTATTTTGATTTTCAGCTTGTGTTCGTAATTGAAAATAACGAGTTTGATAAGTTGTTGAAAATAACAAGTTGACAAGTTCTGATACCCAGTTCACGACAAGTTCAGTAATGCGAATAACAAGTTTAGCAAGGCGAATAACAACTTCTGATAAGCAATTCATAGAAATTCGAGTTTCTCTGTTAAAATGACAGCATTTTCAGATTTCTTTAGCAGATGACAAGTTCTGATACACAATTCATGACAAGTTCAGTAAGGCGAATGACAAGTTTAGTAAGGCGAATGACAACTTCTGATAAGCAATTCATAGAAATTTGAGTTTCTGTGTTAAAATGACAGGTTCCCAGTAGGTTTTCATACTTTTTCTTGTTAAAATGACTGGATTTCCACATTGATTTATCAAATGACAGGTTTATAATAGAAAACGACAAGTTTTCATAAGATTTTTATGCTTTTTTTTTGCTGGAATTACAATTTGCACATTTTTTGACAGCAACAACTTCTGATAAATACGAAATGACAAGTTCAGAATGAAAAATGACAAGTTAAGTATAGCAAATGACAAGTTCCCACAATGTTTTCATACATTTTCATACTTTTTCTGCTAAAATTACAATTTGCACATGTCTGACAGCACCCACTTCTGATAAACACGAAATGACAAGTTTATAATGGAAAATGACAAGTTAAGTATGGCAAGTGACAAATTCCCATAATGTTTTCATACATTTTCATACTTTTTCTGGTGGGATTACAATTTGCACATTGCTGATAGCAATCACTTTTGATAAACAATAAATGACAAGTCCACAATAGCGAATGACAAATTAAGTATGTAAAATGACAAGTTCCCATCACGTTTTCATACAAATGTAAATTTCTCTACTGAAATAACAATGTTCAGATTTCTGACAGCAACCACTTCTGATTAACATCTTTCATCATCAACTTCACCTCTCATTTCCTCCTAATGTATAAAACTATAGCACCAGAACTCTCATAAGCCCCTCAAGAAGCATGCTCATATCAACACCAGTGGCAAATGCACTACGATGATCATATCCACTCACAAGTGCATCCTCAACCATGAAATCCCAAATATAAATTGCCATATCATATGGACAAAAAACCATCAAATTCTACATATAAAGCGAGAACTTTATTCGTTTAGCACTGTATTTAGGGCTCGTTTGTTCCTCACATGCCACACCTTGATCGATTTTTCCACCGAAATACAATCATCATACTTGATTTTCACAATTTAGAGCTTGTTTGCAATTATCAGAAGTGGGTGCTGTCAGACATGTGCAAATTGTAATTTTAGCAGAAAAAGTATGAAAATGTATGAAAACATTGTGAGAACTTGTCATTTGCTATACTTAACTTGTCATTTTTCATTCTGAACTTGTCATTTCGTATTTATCAGAAGTTGTTGCTGTCAGAAATGTGCAAATTGTAATTCCAGCAAAAAAAAGCATAAAAATCTTATGAAAACTTGTCATTTTCTATTATAAACCTGTCATTTGATAAATCAATATGGAAATCCAGTCATTTTAACAGGAAAAAATATGAAAACCTACTGGGAACTTGTCATTTTAACACAGAAACTCAAATTTCTATGAATTGCTTATCAGAATTTGTCATTCGCCTTACTAAACTTGTCATTCGCCTTACTGAACTTGTCATGAATTGTGTATCAGAACTTGTCATCTGCTAAAGAAATATGAAAATGCTGTCATTTTAACAGAGAAACTCGAATTTCTATGAATTGCTTATCAGAAGTTGTTATTCGCCTTGCTAAACTTGTTATTCGCATTACTGAACTTGTCGTGAACTGGGTATCAGAACTTGTCAACTTGTTATTTTCAACAACTTATCAAACTCGTTATTTTCAATTACGAACACAAGCTGAAAATCAAAATAGAAATGAAGAATAAAAATCCAGATTTATTGGGCGTTGTCTCAGCACCAAGCAATCACCGCACACATTGCAAGCAAACATTACAAGCATTACAAATGACTGTCACTCTCCCTCAAACTCCCGACTCTCCTCTCCTTCCACAGCAACAGAGAGAATGATGGAAGAGGCTTCATTGTTGACGAAAGAGCAGGTAAGCAAGATAAGAAGAAAGTGACGGGGATGACAATGAGGAGAGGACCACCGAAAGACATTGGGAGTTCCATATACTTTGGGAAAAGAGTGAGGAGAGGGAAGGAAACTTGGAGAGGAAAGAGAGAACGAAGAGTGAGAGGAAAATGAGGAGGCAAGGTCGGGAAGAAGATGATCTGGAGAGGAAGAAAGAGAGAAAAGCAGAGGGCATTTTGGACATTCTACCATCATTTCATATTTGCAATTTGGGACCGGGTCCTTTGAAGCTATTTTCCAAATTCAGGGTCCCTGATAGCTATTTTATATATTGGAGGGTCTTTATTTGCAATTTCCCCATTAATTTATACCCTGCGTGGCCACAAAAAAAATAAAATAATAGTGCATATTTTGAAATGTGTGTAGATTTTTTTGGAAAAATTTCTAATTCCGTATGCAAACATTAATTGCATGTATTTATCTAATTATTATTAATTATAACAATAAATGGTTCGTTGATTAATTAATTAAAGGAAATTACCCACGCATCCCCCGTGCTCAGCTCCAACCGCAGCCCCTCCGAGTACCCACCTCCCCGCTAATTTTATGCGCACACAACCTTTCATCCTCCCTCCCCAGCAAAGTTACAGTTTTTGGGATAGAATTCATTTCGTATGCGTTTAAAATTAGTTTTTTTCCTCATTAATTATATGTTTCCGTCATTAATTATGTCACATATTTTACTTACTCATTCTCTCTCACACACCATTTCTATAAAGAAGGGTATACTTAGAAAAACATGCATTTTTCACATATATGTTGCCTTTATGAACTAATTTGAACTGATTGTTTTTTGTATACTTCATTTATCTGTATCCTATATACAGGACCAGAGAAACTATTACTTGTTTTTTTTCCACAACCATCATCAAATTTATTTATCATCTGTTGTTATTAATTTTTTTCTTTTTTTGCCGAAATCATCTGTTATATTTGTCATTGGCTGTATGCAATTGATGAGGGAAAAAATATGTAGCTTAGAGTGAAAGCTGTTGGCATGTAGTTGAACTTGAAAGTAAAAGCATAAAGTAAGTGAGGAGAGATACTTGTGTGGGGAAGAGGGCAGAGAATCAATGCTGCTAGGTTGGTTTGTGTGTGGACCAAAGCAGCAGCAACATATCATGGATGGCTTGCTTCATTTCCTCTCAACGTCTTCAAATGCTCTCATCATCTCATCGCAGTGGAATGAAATTCCCCACTTTACCATAAAACTCACTTATTCATTCTCTGCTGAGCAATTCATCACAGCCACATAACATTTTTATTTATATGTCTTCAGTCACTTAAAGAGTTACAATCACAAACGGCTTTCCTCTGGAAGATTCTATATTTGTGGTCAGCAGCAGATTGGGGATCGGATGACATTATTCTATGCACTTGATTGAGTCATGCTCAGCCACTGCTGGCTCCATCAACTTTTCTTCTTCCCGCAGTTTTTCTCAGCTCTTTTCTGTTTTGTTTTGGGAAATGTCAACTTCTCGCGAGCATTAAGGTTTTCTTGTCAAGTACGTTTTATACTCTTTTACCGGATTTGATTTATAAAACTTAAATAATCTATTTTTACCGAGAATTATACATCTCACGTGCCTGAGGTATTTCTTTTTGGTAGTTTAGAGTTGGGTGGTTGGTGGATTCTTAGAGTCAGAGAGGCCTTTTTCCACTCGCCGGCTCTCATCGCCCATAAAAACATGGTAGCAACGGGGATTGATTCCCCTTGCAAGTGGGAGAACCTTGTGCTTTATCTTCTTTTTTGTTTTTAAATTGTATTGGCGCCTGAACATTACGAGATACGTTGATTCCACGACGCATGATGAACAAATATGTATATACTTTAATTTGCAATTGGCATATAATATATAAACAAAATCTTGGATCGGTCAGATACAAGAATCCAAATGCACAGGAGGAAGGAGCCTGGGGGGAAAAAAATCCATAATGGAAGCAACTAAGCTTTATTTCACTTGTAATAGATGACGGGCTTGTTGGAATTCGAGTCCCACATGCCTCCTTCTTTCAGATACTCAAGATACCTCACGAACTCTGGCCTCGACGTGGGTTTCTTCTTGCGACGAAAATCCATGAAGCTGAACAGAGGGTGACTCTTCTCCTTCGTCGTCTTCTTCGTAGGCTGTCTCTGTAAATTACTGGCGAGCCCACCACCAAAGGTCGCAGCTTTTCTGGACGAAGCAGCAACAGGCAAACTGGTGCTTCTCTTCAGCTCCAGGGGAATCAAAGGGCTAATAGCACTGCCTTCTTTGCCTAACCTCTCATACCTCCCTATTCCATGGCCTCTTCGAGTAGTCAGCGATCTAAACATGGCTTAATCTGGCAAAAGATAGGATTTTGAAGCAATTGTCAGCGATTAGTAAGGATGAAACGAAGAGGGTTGGTGTGGGGAGGATAAGTGATGGGCTAGCTTTATATACATGGATGGGACTTTCTTCTTGGGTTAGGTTTAGTCTGGTGTTGAAGTTTCCTATAATTTTCTTTTTTTTTTTGAGGATGACGTTTTCAGTATGACCTGCGGCTTCCTTCTTTGAATACACATGATCAATAGTGAAATTGTTGTTGACTTTACGTGCCGTCCCCTCCATTTTAATGTGTGAATATTAAGAGTTAATAATATACAAAAAGACGGCATCTCAGAAGTAATTGTTTACTTGTTTGTGAGGACACCGTTCTTGATTTTCAGAGTCAAATAATGCTCTATAGGCCCCGTTGCTTCCAACATTGCCTTGCCCGCGCTTGAAAGATTCAAACATTGGGATGGCCAGCTCAGTTTTAATGAGTTTTTAATTATTGATTAATAATGCATTTGCTTTTGCCACAAGCAGATTAAAATAATAGTCTAATTTAAATAAGACTGTTTCAATTGAAAGCACCAACATTCTATGGAATAAAACTATATGCGCCTTCCATCTTTAATATAAGATATAATTAAAAAGTTAATATTAATCTTATACGTAAAACCTATTTGACATGTTTATTAATTTTTTCTAAATTAATCCTATTAATATCCCCCAACAATAATCAGGTAAGAGAAGTAGGGAGGGAATTAAGAAATATGCTTATGGTATTTTTTAAAAAAAAGTATGATATTAGCTGATTTAACTAACATTTTTTATTTACTCAAATTAGTTGATTAATTCTCATATTAAGGATTGGAGGAGTATATATATACATATTATATTTATTGGTTAAGCGTTTAACATTAGAGTTATAATCTTTGGTCAAAATAATAATTCTTCTTATTTAATCACATATAACTCATAGGTTACCTTTTGACTAGGACTTTTTCAGACACAGTTGAGAAAAAATAATGTACAATCGTTTATCACACAGAGGAGGGGGAGATAGGTGTGAACGACCTCTTCTCCCCCCCCCCCCCCCAACAAAAAAAAACCTCTATTTTGGCAAATATTTACCACAATTTTTAAAAAGTTGGAATTTTTCTCAGCTGTTAAAAATAATCATAGTCCCTAGACAATTATTTTCGTACTTTAACCAGTATCAATTCTGCACATCGGCCACATTGTGTGGTGACTGGTGAGATGCTTGGGAAAATATGATATACGCATAACTTGGTAGGTGATATCTGTGTTGGTGCGTCCGAAATGCCGCTGCTCTTTTTAGGGTTTTAGTCAAAAGTACAAAGGAGACAATATCATTATCATTACATACATCATTATTTATATAAATAATCACAAGTTGTGTGATTTAAATAATAATTTATAAAGAAAGAATTACAATTTAGTCTAAAATAAAAATTAATTACTTATTTTTTTCAGTTTCATTGATAAGTTAAACTTCGGCATTATTTACAAGCGATGGACTTGCAAGTAATTAATTTTTCTACTTAAAATCTGCAGTAATCGTCACAATTATAACTAGTACCGCACGGCCGTTTATTATAAGCTTCAAGGCAACTTACGGCCAAACAAGTTAACAGGTCTCTCCGTTTAAGGTTTCAGGTTGTTCTTACTTGCACATCTTTGACTTCACATGAGAGATGGAAGAGTATCTCGATCTTGTTTTGTACTAACAAAAACACCAATAACAAGACAAGTACGGCTGCTACGGGATCAATATTTACATAGTAACCAGCCCATTTATACAAGTGATAAAGCATAAAATATTACAGCCATGGGCACTGCAAGATGCCATGCCACTGATCTTTTTCTAAATCATACTGCCAGCCTCATGCCCGATGCCCTGTCTTTCCATATGCTCCCACCAATATCTATACTTGTCCTCAAAACCACGTCTTCTTCACGTGAGGTCCTACCACCCAAACTGGGCGTCAAGGAAGGAGCTCACAGATGAAGCTTTTGACGTTTCAAATAAAGTGTTGGTGAGGCCGCCAATGTTGGGTCTTATAAAGCAAGACTTCTGCCAACAACTCCCACCCGAGATGAACCTAGAAATCTATTTTCAGAACAGTAGCACAATTTATGAATTTTATCAAAAATATTAAAGGGAAAGAAAAGCATGGAGTGTTACATCATTTCGAAGCATAATCGAGTTACGGTATCATCACTAGTGTTGTGAGCAAATAGGACGGGGACTTGGAGGGAAAAAGAAAAAGATGATCCGTCTATAATTCATCTCATTTGCCTTTCATATGCAGAACATCCAACTGCGATACGAAATCGAGTCTCTAAAATTTGATTTTTCTAACAATTCCTTCTTTCCTTTTCTAAATTTACACATAAATTACAAGAAATTTATAGATCTAGATTTCATATTGTGATGTAACTATTGCTTCTGAATTGCTGAAATTCAATGCGGAAGCCGCATGCGGTGGCCTCTTTTCCCCTTACATACAAATATTGAAGGCTAATATTACAGAACATGATCATAACTGACGAATAATTGCCATTTGCCAAGCTTTGCGTTTAGGAATAGGGCTAGCCTGACCGCACGTGAGTAGAAAACCATCAGAGCCGAAGCTATATAATTCGCATGCCAGTAGGGGCCTCCGTCTCCGGGAGCTGCAAGGAATTATTCAACAACACAAGACAAGCCATGCTATCGCTCTTCGGAATTGAATTTGTTCCAAGCCTCCTGGAGAACCAATTTTCAGAAGTAAGATAAAGAAAAATATAATAAAAGGAAAGGAATCCATTATCCAACTAGATACTATCGCGACAGAGCAACTCCACCATATAAATTTCTCCCAACTATAAAACATTGTCAATGAATGACATGGCATTATGTAGGCCAGACTACCCAAGTAATCAGGGAAACATGGTTCCAGATGAATGAAACTTAGTGACCTATTCACGCTGAGTTTGGGAGGCACACGTGCTTGCATATCTACTTGGCCCAAGAATCCACGTGCATAGACAAATGTGTCTTGTGAATTGCACGTGCACCCAGTTTCAAACAATAAAGGCAACGGCATCATGAATTATTCCAATACATTAAACAAAACTGTTGATTTAAAAGAAAGACAAGCATAGCAAATTTTGGCCAGGAAAATTGCCCCATTTTGGTTTCAGTGCATAATTAACATTTTTTGATCATGAAAAGTTTAGGCGAATTAGATCCCATAGGTTTATTAGAATCATGACAGGCCTCATAATTAATAGCACACTTCTAGACATACTTACAAATCATTCAACAATAAAGTCCTTCATCCATATAGGGATTTAAACCTTATGCCCTCGTGGGATATAAAAGCCAACTCCTCGTCATTTTGACCTACTCTGTTGGGCTTTGACATTTTTGATTTTAGTGAGTGGTTATTGAGTAATTAAAAAGTGCAGTAGTCTTCTACTAAATAGGAAGACAAAGTCACGTAGGATGTGTTTGGGAGAAGCCAAATTAAATGGTACCTCCCCCATGGTCCAAAAACGAAACCAGTGGAAGTGGCGTGCTAAACATACCTTTAGAAGATCAAAGACTTTTTCACATATATATTTGTGTTGAATACTTGCCCCACGCTGCTGTAATTTGTCAGGATGAACACAGAGGGTTGCTTTCCTGTAAGCCTTCTTTACAGCAGCAGATGTAATGACCTCCGTCAATGGAATTGGCTGCCATCCACTATCAGGCCCAAGGATCTGACGAGGTAAAAAGATCAGAAAATGAAATAGTTCAATTCTATCAAACCCCCCCCCCCTGGCGGGAGCGCAGAGATGAGTTAGGCAGATCATAATTCAAGTCTCAAACAGAAACAGCCAAGACAAAATGATGAAGTAGACTCATCAACATGATCTTCACACACTTCACCCAACGTGTGTTCTTGTGTAAAAACGAGGTTTGGGTGAAGAGGAGAAAGAAGTACAGGCAGTTATCTTAGAATATTGACACCTACATATTGCAAGGTTGATAGCAGGGCACGTAAATTTCCTTCTTTCCCACTTGACCACCTCCTAACTTCAGCATCCAGAGTCTCTGCTAATCTCTGCAAACAGCATGGAAAACAAATAAGCAGTGAAACACGGACACAACAGTTTAGAATCTCTAGCCTTCATTTGAAAATGACGAATAGGCTGAGAAAATGAGAGGGCAAAGAGTTGATAGGATAAAATTGAGGGAGTACCAGATAATCATCTATATCAATCCATATATCTACAAAAGCTTTACAAAGCCGCGATGTTCATGAGCCATGTATGGCTTACCTTTGCATGGAGCCCATTCTAGTTTTCTACTCTTTTCTTGATGTGAGCATTCTCATTTTAATTTCTTTTAAAATCATTTTCTCCCTACTACACAAGTTGTTAGAGGCAATCTTTGTGAATATTACTTACATTTCTCTCAGCCTGCTCCTTCTGAGCTAGAAGGTCACGCATGTTCTTTTCTTCCAAAGCTCTTGCCTAAAATATCCACAAAAATCAGTATGTAACATCTTACATCTAGAAACTCTATATGTGCTTCCTATCAAAAGAATGAAAATCTTACCGCACGCTCAGCTGTACGGCGATATCTCTCCAGCCTAGCTCTACACCTCTGAGCTGATTCACCTTCCCCTCCTTCTGATCTTTCAGAAAAAGAGCAAGCTTCAAACAAATAACAGCAGTAATGCTCATATCAAGCAGGGTAACAAAATATGCAAAACGTCACATGAATTTACATTGAAATAATACAGGGAAAACACATATTAAGTGCTACCATGTACTGAAGAATATGGATGCCTGGAACCAGCAGAAGAACTGAAGTTCTGAAACTGTGAGTCTTGCGCATCCTGTCATTTAACTGATTAGACACTGTGCAGCAGATTCTACATTAAATCACCAGCAAAACTATCAAAATACTTACAGATAATGAAAAACCTTGTCTCCCACTACTTCTGAAAGAGGTGGCAAAGGTGTCAGATACAGATCTCTCTAACCGTTCTCTGGACTCGAAAGCAGCTCTCTCAGCCTTGGCTTTTTCCATTGCACGCTCTCGAGCCTCTGCAGTTGCTCTTTCTACGGCAGCACGTTCTGCTTTCAATCTGGCCTCTGCACTTGCCTTATTATCCCTGGCCTCAGCACAAGCCTTCTCAAGTCTTTCACGGGCCTCACTCAGTGCTCTTTGTCTAGCTTCAGCAGTTGCTCTCTCAAATGCTGCCCTATCTGCTCTATCACGAGTTTCAGCAAATGCTCTGTCACGAGCCTGAAGAGTTGCTCTGTCAACAGCCATCCTATCCTTTTCTCTTTCCCTTTCCCTCTCAGCCTCTAACATTGCTTTGTCAACAGCCATTCTGTCTTTTTCTCTTTCCCTTTCTCTTTGCCTCTCCTCCTCTATCTTTCTAAGACGATCTCTCTCCAATTCTCTTTCTCTTCTCATCCTTTCAGCATCACTCTCTTCTGATATTCGAGTTTCATTGATATTCTTCTCCTTTTTCTCTGTGGATTGACCTACATGAACCTGTGAAGTACTTTTCTGATTTCCCACCTCTAGCACTGTAGCAGGTTTAGCTGATCCTGTGTTCCTTCCTTTCTGATCCCACGGGTTTGGATAAGTTGATGACACTTTGTCTTTGCTTTCTTGCTGGTGCAGGGAAATTTTTACATGCTGGTTGTCCTTTCCTCTCTCATTCCATTCATGAGCAGATTTCCCATCCACATTGCTGCGATTAGTATCTTGTTGAGAAGCCGTTTTAATTTTGTCAACACCTGTTTCTTGACTGCCAAAGCCAACTTCATCATCATTCATCACACAGTAATCCACTTTTCCTGATTTGGTCCCTATGTGCTCTGCATCGCCAGGGCTCATTTCAGGTTCTCTACTATCTTTATTAGCCATTAGATTTTCCATTCTTACCTGTTCCAATTTCTTTTCACCAACTTTGCATTCAGTTTTTGTCCTTCCAATTACATGGCCAGCAGGGGATTGTTGTGATTCCTCTGGTTTTTCAATACATTCTTCGTGATTGGAAGCTGATTGAGCTTCAAGATGATTTGGATCACACTCTGTTTTTAATATCTCATCAACTTCTTCAGCAAACTTCATTGATTCCCCATCTTCATTCCCCTCCATTTGCTCCAAACTTTTGTCCAACTCCTTATCTCTTTCATCTCCATCCACACTCTTAGGCACTTTCTTAGAATGCACATGATGGCTATCCTCATTTAATGTGGCTTCACTTCCTCCCACATCGAACTCCCAGTTTGATGGGCTCTCAATTTCTTCTTTACTCTGGGCCTCTTCCAATATTCCACAGTTCTTATCTTGTTCTAGACCTTGATTCAGAACATTTTGAACACCTTCGATGCCATCTGCTTCTTGAAGTTCACTTTCAATTTCATATCCATTACAAGCGTCACATGCCTCTTCTAATGTATTTTTATGGTGAATTCTTTCATACGCCTCTTTCACTCTCTTGTCATTTCTTTCCTGCCCAACTGTCTCTCTCAGTCTTATCTGGTTCACTTCTAGATCAAGGGCCTCTTTAGGTCTTTTTCCATTATTTTCTTCAAGTGTCTGTTTTGGGCCTTCTTCACCTTCTTTTCTACAAGCACCATTTAGGATTTTCTCAATATCTTCTCTTTCATGAGCCTCTTTTTGTTCCTTTTGCTGAACCAATTCAGTTTGTTTTAAACTCTTCTCATGTTCTCTTTGGCAAGACTCTTTTCTCTTTATATCCTCAATAACAGCCTCCTTTAGCTTTCCATCATTCTCTTCCACATCCATAGAATTGGTCTGTTTTTCCGCAGCCTCTCCTTTCCCTAGGGCAAAAGCTTTTCTTTCTCTGTCATCATTTTCTTTCACTTTGCCAGCCTGCTTCTGTTTCTTGACATTATCCCTTTGTTTGTCCGCCTCTTTTAGTTTCTTCTCACCTTCCTTAAGTCTCATAACGTGAACTTCATCAAATCTATCGACTTCTTTCAATTTCTCACCTTTTGCTTGCTGGACTTCCTTATGTTGAGTCTGAGACGTATTCTCTGAGTTTCCTGATTGATAAACATCAGTTAATTTCTTTTCAGTTTTTTCATGCTGGTGAGTGATTCTTGTATGTTCATTCTCTTCCTGCTCTGAGAACTTTCTCAGTTTTCCCTTCTTTACATGCTCTTTTTGCTTTTGATCTTCACGAGAAGCTTTAGATCTAATGATTTTATCTAGTTCACAAGCCTCTTTTGCAGCTTTAGACTTTTTCTTGTATTCATCCAGCTGACATTTTTCTTCAATTGCCCTTAGCATTTTACTCTCATCTTGCAGATTAGCCTCCCATTCATTCTCATGGGTTCTGACATCTTTTGCTAAACTCTTAGAATGATTCACTGACTGAAAAACAGAAGGAGATTCTTCTGTGCCCACCAACTCAAAGAATTCAGTTTCTTCCTTCCATGTTCCAGCTCCAGCGCTCCTATCAGACTCTTGAGATGATCTGGATTCATTGATGCGTTTTTCCTCTGTGGATTTTTCAAACATATGCAGAGGTCTGTCCCTTAACAATGAATCTGGAGTTTCCACCACAACTTTCATGGTTTTCTGCCTTTCATCTGTGATAGGAATCTTCATTTTTCTATGTCTCCCATCAGAAGCTCCCTGTATTCTCTCATCCTTCAAACTACTCGATCTAGTGATATTCCTGCTTCCCTCAATGTTTTTCACATCACAACTACTTTTGACACTGCTGTCAAAATCCTCCTTTTTCTTCTCCTTCAATTCTTTTGCACCTCTAAGTTTTGTTTCAACTCTATGCACTGCTTCTTTCATGGTAGCAGCAGAAGCAGCTGCAGATGAATTCATATCAACTTCTACATCAAAGAAAGGTGGTGAGCTGTCACCTGGAATCCCTTTGGCGGCAACCGGCTCAGAGTTCAAATGAAAATCAGCAGTGTGACCCTTCTTCACATCTAGTAAGGGTGGTGGCCGTGAAGGGGGTGGCACTTGGGAGGGTCGGGTTCTAAGGTTGATGTCAGTCACAGACATGAATGCCTCCCTGGAATGAGAGCCACTTCTACTGTCTTCATCGTGCAATTGAAGATCATCGCCAAAAGTCTGTTTTCCAGAAGTACGATCAGGTGGATGTGATGTTTTCCCAAGTTGGTTTTCCCTCTCCTTTTCAGTGGTAAGGTCTACATCAAGATTTATATCATCAGGGAATTGCATAGAAGGATCAATGCTATGCATGGGGGTAGCTTCATCAAACACAAGAGTGAATCCGTGAAGGGGTTGTGGCTCAGCGATGTGTGTTTTCCCCTTCAAGATGCCTCCATTGCCTGTTCCGTCGACCCTGTGGTAAGAAATGTTGAACTCTGTATCACCATCAACAGAGTGGTAAGGATATCCCCTTGACATACTTTGATTATTTCCAGAACGATCTGACTCTCCCGAAATTGAATCAGTTTCTTCCGGAGTCCTATAGAAGATATAGAAGAAATGATACACCATCATATCACGCTTGCAAATGACTCGAATAAGAGAATAAAAATAGAAGACACCTCTAACTGGTTCTGTAAGTTCTTTGGTAACATAAAAACAAAAGAACATATTAACCTCGGAAGATACAAGAAGTTCAAAGATCATATTAAACTCCGAAAGGGGTCACTAGTTAATCTAAACGATTCTAATTATCCTTCTTGGTTAATGACAAAGTTGTCCACTTTGCTTCACAGACTAGCTGAATTTTTATGCGAAACATCTCAATGAACCACTATAATGGCAAGTGAACTAGCAAGCACCATGGTTCCACGAGGAGCTACGAGCCAGCGCAATGTTTTACTCATCAATAGTACGTTAACATTAGTCCAAACACCTGAACATACAAGATCGATCCTCATAGTTCGACCCGACAGTCCAGGAAAGTGAAATCAAGGCCTGGACTGCTGAAAGTCGTTATACCGATCTCGGACATTAGAAATAAGAACTCGTTTTCCGCCATGACACAAAGGTAAACCCAATTTACGAAAGGATCGCTCACTTCAACATGTGTTAAATATTAGATACAGAAATGGAATCCTAGAGCAAGGCGTAAAATATGATCGCATTCATACCAGGCTTCTTCAGAGGAAGCATCATCCCGAACGTTGGGTTGGTGAAACAAGTCCTCGTAGGAGACCGCGAAATCTAGACCATTGTAACCTCCAAAAACTTCGCCGTAGTCGAAGGCGGAGCTGCGGATATCGAAGAAGACCTCGTTTTCATCAACCAGCGGAAGATCCAGAATCGGTATAGAAGATGTGCGTGCAGTGTGAAAGCTTCCGAAAATCTCACCGTAGTCTTCGAAACGAGGGGAGAGGCTGTTAACTCCGAACTTGGGAGGACCTCCGTAGACGTCGTCATACAAACCTTTAGCAGGCAAGCCCCCATGATTGCCATTGCTTTTCTTGGAAAATGCCGCGGACACCTTGTTTGGCTGCCGAGAGTGCGCGATACTCTCCATCAAAATGCAGCTTCGCTAGGGTTTCTTCTTGATAGTTCTGTGAAGCACTGTGTTTTCTTCTTCTTCTCTCTCTCACTCCTCTCCTTCTGCCTCTGTGTGAGTGCAGAGACTGTGGAGCGTCAGAGGAGGAGGACGACGAAAGAGAGGAAATAGCAAAAGAAAAATGTTGAAAACCGAAAAAGGTAGGACGCGAAATGACAAAACAGGACGGATATAATTGGCGCTAATATTTTATTTGTTTTATTAAATGTTCACGCAAATAAAAAGCGATGCTTGTTCGTCGTCTTCCCTCTATTTTCCGTTGTCCCAAAAAGTTGTCTTCTGTGCTCAAATTAAAATCAATCCATCAATACTAATTAATTAAAGAAAGGCCGGATGACCGGTGTAGCCGGCAGACGGTAAGGACGCGGCAAAGAGATGTTAACGTTTTTGGATTAATTGGGGTTTTGAAGAACATGGGAGACTTTTCATGACTACTGCAATAAGTTGACCACTTGTAAATTTGTATTTCGTCTTTGGGATGCTTACGTTTTCTGAAACTCAGGAACTCCATTAACGTAACAAGGTTTATGTGTTTCTCACTGCAAGGGGAAAAAAAAACTCAGTCAAACAAGTTAGGGAAAACAGATTTTGTTAGTATTATATGTTTTTAAATGCGTGCGCTATTTAATCGGCACACCATATGTTTTGTCGGAAGCAAATAAGCTTGCACTTTTTTATTTAATTGCGTGTGTGTGTGTCTGTACTCTACTGGTATATATATTACATAGAATGACAACCCGACACGCACAAGCGTATATGTGTATTGTATTAAGTTTATAATAATGCATGTATTATTGGCTTTAAGGAAATTGTCAAAGTGTCCTTTGAGGAGGTGGAATGTAATATGTGAAATTACAAGTATTTTTGTAGCTTATTATTTTCTTAAAATGAACCTTTCACCAACTCCAGCGCGTACAGGGGGCGATCCTGTTGGTGTGTATGAATGAATGGGTTTTAATATCCAAACGTCTCTTGACAGGTTCAAAGATCAGACTATACCGGCCGATAAAGATTCGTGTGTGATACGTTAACGACACACACGCATATTTTGAATGACAGTGCCTGGATATTAATTATTAATTCATTGGGCTTGTGTGAGAAGTGAAGGGAATGGCAGGATCGGAGGAAGAAGTTGCGGTGGAACAAGTGTTTGGCAATATGCAAAGGTTTTAATTAGAATGACATATATGATGTGATTGTGATGTGAAGGCAAATAATACAAATGGTAATAATGATTGGGGAAGCAGGACATCATTATAAAGACAGAATTGCCAGCACATAGAACCTCTTCCCACTTGCTCTACCTACGTTTCTCCTCCCAACCATCATCCCAGAACGAAGCCTCTCTCAAAGTAATCAAAGGGGGTGTGTTATGTTATCTGTAATCACCAGAAGTAATATAATGAAGCAGCCGTCCAATAGAAGTATAAACTACTTTCGGTCCTAATTATAAGAGCTAGTTAATTAATTTAAAGAGATTAAGGAAGCAAGCTGAGTTAGTTATTTGTCCTAAATAGATGTTGTCTTTCCTATAATATCCTTGCTAATCAGGTGTACTGACTGGAACTATTATTGTTAGAAGGGTTACTTTGAAAAAATATATATAAATATGAGAGACAAAATGGATTTGTGTCTTATATTTAGGACCAAAATAAAAATCAAACAGGATTTTATATTAAAGACCGGAGGCAATATTAATTAAAGGTGCATGCAATTATCGTTGGAGATAAACAGTAAATGATAAGTGAACTAACACGAGAAGAAACAGATGATGAAATAAATGAAGAAGGGGATGGAAACTGATGAAGGCCACAGAGAAGAAGTAGTTAGGGTTAGGGGAAGATGTGGGGAGAATGAGGTTAGTTGGGAGGGAAGTAACATGCATGCACGTCTCTCCCTTTCCCTCACATAAATACGGACACACACCATGCAGACACGCATGTTGTTTTCCCGACGTTGACGCTTCAAGTGACGACGAGGATGAGGTGAGGCCAGGGTCCCACACCGGCGAAATGAGCAGTGGCAAGGCTGCCACGTGGACTGCTCCTCATCAAGACCCGTCTCCTTCTTTATTGACTTGGATGGACAGACATGTCTTTATACCTAAGCTCATTAGCTAAGCTCCCTTCATGATTTCAACTCGCATGGATTGACCTTAACGTTTTAAACTCCCCTCCTGGCTTCCTTACGATCATTCCTTCCATTTTTATAAGGAGGAATTCGTAAAAAGGAGGCCTTGAATTGTAATTTGAAAGAAGAATAGGAATTCGTTGAAAAGTACAAGTGGAGAGTGCGGAATAAGAATAGAGAAAAGGCAATAATGAATGAGAGAGATTGGGAGAGAAGAGAGAAACAAAGAAGGCAAGAGGGGAGAATCTGAAAGTGACAAGGAGATTAAACGTGAAACAAGGGTGGTGTGGTTCGGGTACTGACCTGAGGGATGACAAGTAAGAAAAAGAAAAAGAGGTTAAAACAGAGGAGGAAGGGGATCTTCTTTTGGGGAGTTTGGTGGCGCTTGTCCCCGTACAGCCCGCCACCGGTCATGTCTGCTTTTCTTTGTGCTTTTTTTCAAGGAGGCCAGCGTCAAATGGAGAGGCGAGGAGAATTTGGTAATTTGGGGGGAAGATTTGAATTGAAGGAATGATAAAAGAGAGGACCTTGGAGAAGCCTCTCCCCAGTCATCCAACTGTGGGGGCTGCGGGGACCCTCTTGTCTGCCACTTTACTCACTCATCATTCTTCTTCCCCTCACTGCCCTCTTCCCTTTGTTTCTTTTATTTTATTTTATTTAAATCATCATTCCATTACACAAAGAACTCCTTCCTGCTCGATACATGCCTCCAGTTTATGTCGCCCACCACTTTGTGACTGTCAGATATGGGGCATGTGGCCTCTGTTTCGTGGGCAAAGCTTATGCCCATAAACCTCATTATTCATCTATTTGACCCGTTGGGCTTGAGCCCCATTCAAAAATGTGACCCCGTTCGTTCGCTTTCCGTAGGAAAGATAGGGGGCGGGGGAAAAAAGAATTGAAACGGTCCTCATCCAGTTTGAAACTAAACACAAATAAGGATACTACATGCGAGAAAAGGCCAGGTCGTTCGAAAGTGGGCCAAAAAACATATTGGGTCAGTACCTTATGCCCGGGAGTCCTTTCTCTCAACAATACTATTGTCGAATTAGCAGCGCACGATAACCCAAAAGTGGTGAGCACTACGCAGAATCATGACGATATATACTTTTAAAAGGGGGCAGCCTACCATCTGCTCCGTTGTCGTCCAGCGGTTAGGATATCTGGCTTTCACCCAGGAGACCCGGGTTCGATTCCCGGCAACGGAACTTCTTTTACCGCACTATATTTTTCCAGCCGCAAGTAAAATTCCGTTTTCAAACGATTCTGCCAGAAAACATCATCGAGCGCTATGTTGTTTTTCGACTCGGCGAACAAATCATTTATTGAAAGCATCTAGATGTTTAATGAAAGTGTCAACCTATCAATTTTTTTGTGGGTACAATCAATCTATCAACTTGATAAGCACCATGCTTAAAGTGTATAGTTATGCCCATTTCACATTCGTTAGTTGTTATTATTTGGCCCTCTGAACATTTACATGATCACAGATAAAGGTAATTGATGTTATAGTTTGTTAGGACGCAGAACAGTTAGCACCCGTTTAAAAATGAAAAAGAATTCGTTTTCTCAAAAGACTATTGAATTGAATAATATAAAACTAAAACTCTCCGTTTGCTCCCATGTCCTCCCATGTTATCCTCTCAGGAAAGAAAATCTCGACCTAAATTTATTTGCATAAGCAGAGGAGGTCATTATGTTTAGGATAATGCAGAATAATTCACGTGATCGTCAATCATAACCTGCAATTAGCAGGCCTGCTTAGCCTGAGCCAGCAATGAAGGTTAAGTGATAATAACTAGCATCATTTTGCCGTTAATCTGGATCCCAAGCAAAATGGCAGTCGAGCATCGCCCCTTCTTTGAAGCTCACTCTCTTTTCAAGTTTTCTTCCCGGGTACTATAAAAGAAAACTCACGGGGAATCCAGTTACGACATCACTGCTACTCTTTTAGCCCAAGTTTGGGACACCACAAAATAAAAAAAAGGTCAATGCCTTTGTGCCCCCAAGTAGCCAACGGCTACCACAGGGACCCTAATTCTGACAAGTTCTGCACAAGCGACAATATGACATCAAGAAATACAATTACATTTAGAATTCAGATGCATGTTTTTGCCAGAAGGCAAGCAGACAAAGTAGTACATATTGCCACAAAAGCATAATATCCAGCAACGGTATCAGAATGTTTAAGTTTGTTCTCATTCACGTAATGTTTGAAGTCATATCCTCCTGCCCGATCAGTTTCTGAACAGCTCACTGCCTCAAGCTTTCAACTATATAAGCAGCGTACAGGTCCCTGCAACACGTCAAAGTAAAATCCCTGAATAAAGCAAAAGACACCTCTGGAAAAATGTAACCAATATTGGTGTATATGTTTTGAAACAAACAGCGGCAAAATTGGCGGGAGGGAAGCCGATAATGTTTATGACAGAACAAAGGCTGGTAACTTATCAGCAAAAAAGGAAAAGGCTGGTACTAACATGGAATACTTGATGGCATCCATAGCAGCATCAGCAGGAAGAAAATCTTCAACATCAACTTTTTTGTTCTCATTTTTCTTGTCTAACATGTCAGGCTAAGGATACACAACATAGCAGCCGTAAGGAAATAAATGAATTAACAGACCAAGGCGGAAAACTTTCATGCATCAATGGTGTAACCATTTAATTCATTCATGAGAAAGAATGGTGTAAGCATTTAATATATCTTAGAAGCGTAGGGGAGCTACATGAATTGTGTTGATATGTCCAAACTCTTTGAGATGCAAAACCAATCACCAACGGGGTATAATGACCAACAATCATATGGGCGCATGCATATGTGAATGCTAAATGCCAAACAGGATACAGTCTTCAAAAAATCGCCTGATTTCAGCTAGCCGATGTGGAGGAAGTTCCTTGATGTCCTTGTAGTGGCGGAATTCGGGGTCATCAGCACAAACTGCTATGATTTTGTCATCCTTTTCTCCCTGCACCAGAATTCAAGCAACAGGTCAATAACCGTTCCTATATATTCTGATAAATGCCCGGCTAACCCGCAGAGAGGCAACTAGAGAAATATATAAATCTAACATAAAGACTAATTAGGTAGACCAATTCTGTTGTTGACAGACCCTCAGATGGTTCTTTTGCGTTCCCCTTGCAACATAATGAAACGAAGATAATATCTCGGTAGTAGAAAGCAATTTTTACCTGGTCAATCATGGGCATCAATCCAATAGCACGGGCACGAAGGAAAGAACCAGGTAGCACTGGCTCCTGCTTAAGAGATAATAAAGTTAGAATTTTTATTTTTGGGGCTAAAAACAGGAATGTTGGTTAAAAATCATAAACAAACTTTTACGCAATGATACCTGCATTAGTATCAGGACATCCATAGGATCACTGTCTTCACAAATAGTTCTTGGAATGAAACCATAATTGTGCGGGTAGACAACTGATGAGTAAAGAACGCGATCAACCTATGTCATCCCATTCATAGATAGAACAGTTATAAAACAATTTTTTTCCCAACCAGAAACAACACTATTATCAGTATAAAACAAAGTAAACTTTGCCTCCAGTAAATCTTATAGTCATAATTTATTTTGGTTGCAAGTATAAAATTAACTTAGCCAACAAAACTTTTGCATAAATAATTGATAGGTGGAAACAAAAACAGCAAAATAAACAATCTGAAGCCAATAATTCGCTCTATTATCTATGATTCTCTACCTGTTTATTAAATACACATTCCTCAATATAGTAACCTAAACAACAATACTAACAATCTTGCTATTGAAAGTCTAAGCATCTTAGGTGGGAGCTCTGCAAAGGAAATTGAGTACTTGAAATTCTGGGGGGAAAAAAAAAATTCAGAATCCCTAGAACTTCGGTGGCATTCAAGCATTGAAGTTGACAAAATCCCAACAATATGTGTAAAAATTGTAACGTGAATAAAATTATCTTAAGAAAACCTTTTCTATTGTTATGCCAAAGAATGTTGAGATGGTAAGGGAATAAACTGAATTCAATAACTGAAAAAGTTTGAGAGCCCACACCTTTATAAGTCCACTTGTCTTGTCCAGCTCATACTTAACCTTGCTCCCTTTGCCAATTTCAACAACCTGCCATAAAGTCCATATTTGAATTTGGCTGCTCTCAGCAAATGGAAGAAGACCAGAGCAGACCAATCTATGTTGCTAATGTAAACTTTGTAGATCCGCTCTCAGAATGTCAGCAAGTTGCCATTATCATCATGTCATTGACGAAACTGAACCACCTTTTGAGTTGCTTATGCTAATCATATATGATGGTTTCCCAGAAATGCCATGAATATGGCCCAGAGTGAGACGGTCAATGGAATTTCAAACGGTTGTTTTCTTTATTTTTATTTTCAAGGTTGTCCTACTTTTATGCATGTGAAAGGTTCAATATAAGCTATCATCGGCCAAAAGGAAAAAGCCAAACATTAAACATTCACAACTTACACAGTTGAAAACTGATGGAGCTCCAGGCCCTGTATAAAAACAACCGAAACTTTAGGAGTACTAGATCCATACGTTTGATTCTATGTAATATAGCATTACAAAACTTCCA